GCATTTCAAACATACACAATATATAAACCAGGTAATTCATGTTTGTGACATGGCTATGGAAACAGTTGATTTCAGAGTTAGGAAATAATTCATAGGGGCATGGACTGTGGGGAGTTTCACTGGTAACCAAAGGTTGTGCTTCTCTTAGCATTGAAATCCAACTTGGGAGAAAGATGAGCAGTCTCCTCCTGTGTGATTTCCAGCCTTGGAAACGCGCTGGAGGCTCAGCTCTGAGTCAGTTCTGACTTAATGGCCATGAGTTTGAATTTGAGAATTCATACACATTGCGTTTTGTGTTCTTGATTGCAGTCCTCACAACGTCACAGCGGTCTTCCCACTGCCTCTTCATAGTTCCCATTTCCATTTGACCTTCTTGCTTATCTCTCCTACCTTCTGAACTTTATCCCTGGACAGATGCTGCCCTTTTAAATCTCCTTTGATTGATTGTTCAAGGAGTATGTGCCTCTCTGGTGTTACCATTCACCTTATAGGTCTATCATTTGGCTGAAAGGTGAATCCACAGGAGTATGTCCAATTCCAGACTAGAAGAGTCTGTTTAAATTTTTTTAGAAAATATAACTGAAATATGTCCTGATTCCCAATGCTGCAAACCCAGTGTGTGTGATAGCAGCAGGAAAAGACAAAGGAGAATACTGATTTATTTGGAAATGAAACAAGACTACTAAACAACACACAGGTGGAAAATAAGTCAGTGCTCTTGCTAACTTGAAGGCATGCCACATTCTATAATCATTACAGTCCTCAAATATAAGAGAAAAATTTTCCATTAAAGGAACAGTGCTGTGACAGTCACAAAGCTGGAAAAAATAGGAATAGGCTCTGTATCAGATGTGGAGAAATTGGTATTGATTGAGGACCAAAAGGAGCTTGTTCAACATACTTAACGAACACTCAGAACCATACTACAGTGTGGTGTTTACCCAGCATCCAAATCATAAAATGTTCTGTTTCACAGAATATGATGCACAACTGAATATATACAGCCTTTTATGATGCAGTCACTTTAATGATTCATTAAAGTTTTTTGTTCTTTTTTTCTATTTTCTTTGTGCTTCAGATTTAAAAGACTGTTGTTACCAGACTTGAGTTTTAAAGAGTAAGGAAGATGCTTCCTTATTATTATTATTGTATTATATGTGGATATTATATTATGTGTGGATAGAGGAGAGTGAATAAAAAACATGCTTAGCATTACTATTTTGTATTTTAGAATCTGATAATAAATCAGTCCATCTGAGGAAGACCAAGTCACCAAGCCCTCACAGGCGACAGTGGGATAAAAACATTTCCACGACAGCTGTTACTGCTTTGCAAAATGCGTCCATTCTGACCTCCAGTTTAACTGCAGAGGACGATAGAGGTTGGTACTGAGATGGGTTACTGCTGCTTTTACTGTAGAACATTTCCTAATAATTAATATGCTTGGGGTTTTTAATCTTACATTTTTTTCTGAATGTCATTCTGTGAAGGATATTTGGTGTCACACATGAGAGATATTTCAAGAGCAAGTAAAATATAATGAACTGAGTCTGAATTATGACCTAGATGATATACGGTAAAAATGTAATTCTGTTTGGCACTAATTTTTACCTTTTCACTAGTAGGTGGTTCTGTAATAAGGTACAAAGAAAATAACACCCGCAAGCAGTGGCTCAAAGAGACCCCCGAAACGCTGTTGAACATCCTTAAGAATGCTGACCTCAGTATGGCATTTCAAACATACACAATATATAAACCAGGTAATTCATGTTTGTGACATGGCTATGGAAACAGTTGATTTCAGAGTTAGGAAATAATTCATAGCATTGCATTTACAGGTGATCTTGAATGTGTTCTAGTCACTTCTAAAACTACTTAAAATTTCCAAATGTGCTATATTACTTCTTTCTTTGAAAAAAACATTGTCTGGGTTAAAGCAGAACCCTGGGGGGGGGGATATTTTTAACAAGTGAAAAAGATAGTTAATAGTTTTTGAAGGTAAAAGAGCATTTTGGTAGGACTAAGTTTTGATGAGATGTATTGATACAATAACTGGGGCAATTGAGGTAGGTGTGTCGGAGTCAGTGAGACTGGCTCAAAGCAGGAGAGGCTTCAGAGCTGTTGTGCATAAGGTCACTATGAGTTGCAGTGACTCGATGGCACATAATGACAACAACAAGGTGCCCCTAATCCAGGCCATGGTCTTCACAATTAACCTGTTATGCATCAGAGAGCTAGACAGTGAATAAAGCTGACAGAAGAAGAATTGATGCCTTTAAATCATGGTGCTGGAGAAGAGTATTGAACATACTGTGGACCACAAAGAGAACAGGTCTGTCCTAGAGAGGATGAAACCAAGCTGCTCCTTGGAGGCAAGGATTTTGAAGCTCCGTCTCATATTCTTTGAGCATGTGGCCAATCATACCAGTCTTTGGAGATAGACATCATGCTTGGAAGGGTGGAGGGACAGCGCAGGAGAGAAAGACCCCGGATGAGATGGATTGACTCAGTGACTGGGGTAATGAGTATAGGTGTCTTAGAGACAGTGAGATTGGCTCAGGATAGAGCAAGGTTCTGAGCCATTGTGCATAGGATTGCAATGAGTTGTAATTGACTCGATGGCCCATAACAACAACAAATGGATTATTGAATTTGACTAGTTAGTAGATTTCTAGCACATATTGTCAAAGGGGAAAGAGTAAGAAAAGGCAGGGCCCCCCTTAGGCCAAGACGTCTCAGTACCTGCTGGCTGGGGCCAAGGGTGCAAAAGGGGCCTACTGCTTCTGGGTTCGCCTTCTTTATAACGTCTTCTCCTCCTGAGTCTGGTCACTGCTTTTTCCCAGCCGGAGTCTTACAGGATTGGTTGTTATCAGGACCTGCCTGGATTCTCACGGAAACATGTCATCAGAAAATACATCTTTTAATTTTTTACATTTATTTGTTTTAGAGCTACCTTTGTTTCACTCATTTGCTTGCTTGTTTTAGTAATTATGCAGCTCCTTTAATCCACTACTTCTATTTCTCTCCTTTGTGGAAACCTAGTGAAGATGGGAAAATAGAAAATTATACAATGGTAACTTTTAGTGCTTTATAGCTTCAAATATAGTTTCTATATTTGAGTACTTTTATTATAATTTAGGAGGTTTCCCCCACCCTATAGAAGAAAATACTTAAGATTTGATATACCTACTGGTTTGGCTTGGCATGTCGTATGCCAAAAATTATGCTGAGTGGTGTAAGGAAGCACTTCCAAAGCATGGAAATTATCTTTATTTACTTTATCTTTATTTACTCAGCAATCTTTTCGAAGTTTAGTCCACCTTGAATGAAGTAAGTAAATTCTATTTCAGTTGGCATTATTTCTGTTCATATTCCTCCAAAGGTTCAGGAGGATTCTTGAAAGGCCCACTGTCTGAAGAAACTGACACTTCAGATGATGTTGATGGAGTTTATGATTCTGTCGTTTTGGATCCTGAGAGACTTGAACCTGGAATGGACGAGGAAGACACGTATGTGATGATAAACCTAGAAAACTGTGGTTGGTGTATGTGTGAGTGTATAATATCATGTTAATATTGGGCTCAGTAAGATCTTATGTTAGTTTTCATCATAAGTGAATATTTCTTGTTCTTTTGCCTAGGGTAACTAATGCATTACAGTGTTATAATGATCTCAAACGGAGCCTTATGCATATAATCATTCAGCTTAGATTTTACTTTTTGTTATCGACTCAATTTTACATTGGAAAATTCTAGGAAGAGCTAGAAAACGTATTTTTTTAAATTTCCTAACAAAATCTGCTCAGTTGCCTTACGGAGCTTGCGTAGAGAAACAAAGGCGTGAGAGCGAGTGAGACTGATTTTGAGGAATTTGGTCACAAAGTTGTGAGGCGCTGGCAGATCCGGAATCTGAAAGCCAGGCGGCGGACTGTAGGTTTCTACAGGCTGCTTCCAGGATCTGCAGGGCAGGGGACAGAAAACGTGAAGAGGGGAGTAAGGGCTCTGGCAGCATATCTACTTATCTGGGAGCAGCCTAAGGAGATTCGTATTTCACCTCATTGATTACATTTGACATCAGATCACATTCTGGAAGTTGATTGCACCATTTCACCTGATTGATGATATTGACATCAGATCACTGTAGGGAACTTAATTGCATTACCTTACCTTGCTAAAGTAATGTAATTAAATCTACCCAGTGCCATCTGACTTAATCATATGTAGTTACTTTATCCATAACAACGTACTTCCATAGCATCCATAACTAGCATTTGACCAAACAACTGGGAAGGTGACACACAAAATTAACCATCATAGAGATCATTTAAGAGAAATGTAAATGCTACTCTGTTGGTGTTCTGCTTTGAATCATTAGCACATAATTAATGTGTTTCTAATAGCAAGGTTTAATATCCCTATTCTTTGTTCACAGGGACTTTGAAGATGATGATGACAGTCTTGACTGGGTGTCCGAACTGAAGAAGCGAGCTGGATTACAAGAAGCAGCTGATGGATAATGCGCATGGAAATGTTCGTTAATCAGCGGAGATTGTTTTTAAATGAGGAACTAATACTTGAATAATAATGAGTTCACAAGATGTGTATTTTCTTTTGGAAACAGAATGAGAAGGAGAAAATATGAAGATTTAGAATTGATCCTGACTGGTATCATGAAGTGTAAAATCTCCTGGTGTCTGACCTTTTCTAACTTCACAAAGAAGAGAGAAAATCATTATTTCCATCAGCAGCCCAAAGCTAATTCCTGTGAGGCATAGGGCTGACACAAACTATCCCTCCCACTACACTTTTGACTCTGTTGGGTTTGATAATTCATTGTGATTGTAGAATTTACAGACTATACCAAGAGTTATAGTAATTTGCTGAGAGTTACAAAGATTATGACCAAAAGGGCTGTATTAAGGAATTCACTCCACTGAAATTTATAAAAACTCTAGAATGTATTCATGTGTTTCAGAACTCAAGGAAGAGGTATTGAATAATGAGTATGATCTTTGGACTTTGGTGAAAGGTAGTCTAGAAATTAGTTTCTATCTTGACTGCCTACTAGTTGTATAACTGGGAAATGAACCACTTTGAGCTTTAACTCCTTTAACCAGATGAGGATAATTATGCCTGCCTCATTGCCATGCTGGCCATAGACTATAGCGTCCCGTAAATATGTAGTTAGAATTTGGGCTTCTAACTGGGTTAACTAATTTTACAGTTTCTGGAAATTAAAGGATCCAAATATATTTCATAATAATACAGTGATTTACAATTTTTAAACAAGATCTATTTCTGGATAGTGTATGTGGGCTGTATCCAATCAGAAACCTTTAAAAGCTGTCCTTAAATATTATTATGTATTGAATTGTATCTCTCCAAAACGTGTTGAAATCCTGTACCTTTGAATATGATCTTGTTTGGAAATCAAGTTCTTTGTTTTATTAATGAGGTCAAAGCACAATAGGATGGGTGCTAAACCTAATTATTTCTAAGTTTTAAAAGGACAGAAAGGCTCAGACATCGGAAAGAGGAAGACAGACAACAGATACCTCTGTAATCCCAGGAATCTTAAGAATTGCTGGCAGCTACTAGAGCCTAAAAAAGGTAAATCCCTCTTCCTAGAGCCACACCGGAAAACTGTGAGAAAATAAATTCCTGTTCCTTTAAAACACTCACCTGTGGTACTTTTGTTGTTAACAGCAGTGCTAGATCAGAGACAGATGCAAACCGTTACAGAGAACCCAGATCAGAGGCTCGGCAGGATGGAGCGGTCCGCAGATGATGGCAGAGAAGATGGCAGTTTTGTAGATGAGAGAGGAATAAGACCCCAGTTGAGAAGAGAAGTAGCTCGGGAGAGTTGCGGAACAGGTGGGGGAGTTCCAGGGTATATGGGGTGCCTTGCCAGGTGCTCTGTAAGATTAGGGACGGTGTGATTATGTCTCACATACTTTGGGCCTGCAGGAGAGGCCGTCCTTGGAAAGGGACAGCATGCTTAGAGAATTAGAGCGTCAGAGGAGAGGAGAATACTGTGTGAGGTGGATTGACACTGTTGGCAACACTGGACTTAAGCCGAGTGTGTGAGGATGGCACAGGATTGACTCAGTGGCCTTGACGGCACATAACACCAGCAACACCAAGTAATACTTTCTAGAAAACTGCAGTTTAAAATTTTAGCCTTAAAGTCTTTTCTGTGATTTTATTTAACAGGATATATCCTTTTAAAAAATATTTTTAGAAAAGGAGTTTTTCTTTTAAGTATTCTAGATTTTTTTAAAAAAAAATTATCTTTAAAATTTATTTCTGCAGTTGCAGATATAGTTTAATAATTGTTTAATGTGTGTCATTCTTTGTAAGAGGAGTCAGTGTTGTCATGCCTTGTTTCCACTAGCATCTTTAAAACGCTGCAGGTTCAGAAAACTCGGGCCTCACCACTGACAAGAAGGAGGGGCCGGACCTGAACCCAGGACCTCTGACACCAAATCCTGTGCATCGCAGGTGCCTGTGGCTTAGCTGTTTTATTTCTATGAAAAAGATTTTGTCAATTATTTCAGTAACTGTTGACGTGATGCACGGTTTTGATATCTATTATGGAGCAAACTACATCCCACTCTTCAAAAATATCAAAGTCCTATCGCCTCTCATTCCGCGCTGGCATATTTGCAGCTGTCATGAGTTGGAACCAATTCAGTGGCAACTCGTTTGTTTTTAAAATCATCTACAAGCATGTAAGTGTGTTTGGGCAAAAAAAGATGCACAGTCAAGAATGCAGGCCAGTGGGTGCTTCTGGAGGGAAGGGGCAGCAAACCGGAGCTGGGGTGGGGAGGGTCATCAGGGGTGTTTTACTTGACAAAAACACTGACAGCAAATGTTACAAAATATGAGTTATTCTCAGGCCTGAGTGGTAGTTGAATGTGGCTGGCTACACTTTTGCATTTAAAACTTTTCGCTTTTTAATAAAAAAATCGAAAAAGAACAAAAAACCCCCCACCTTTTCGCTTTTAAAAAAATGTCACCTCTCTCACTCCTTTCACTTCACGCTTTCCTCTCTTATCAAACAGGGCTAGCAGTAAACTGGAAGTGTCCTTGGAGTCTTACTGACTGGCAAAGGGCTAACCAGTGACAAAGCTGATTTTACGAGGGTCACCTGGCCCTCATGCAGTCTTAGTGTGATCTTACTTGGAAATAAGGGTCTTTGAAGATATTAGGTCAACAAGAGGTCACAGCAAAATGTTATGGGTCTAAATCCAGGATAATTGGTGTTCTTACATGGACACATATGGACAGAGGAAGGATGCAGTGATGCAAAAGCAAACCAAGGAATGGTTTGAGGGACCAGAAGCTGGGAGAGGGGCACGGAGTGTTTCTTTCTCAAAGCCACAGGAAGAATCAAATAGCTTATACGCTTCCAGGACTCCAAGAGAATGAAACTTTGTTCTTATAAGCTGTTCAGTTTATGGTATTTTGTTTTGAAGATGTTTATTTAGCACTGTGATCAGTATTCAAGTTGCATAAAAGTCCTAAATAAGCCTGAAAGCATTTGTAGAAAGTACCTTTAAAATGTCATATGGGAGGGAACAAGAGGACATCCTGGTGATACACACAGTGGCATCTAATGATAACAAAAAGAAAAAGAAGCTACTTTGGAGTAGCCTGCCCAGAGAGACAGAAGGCTTATACAAAGAAAACAAAATCCTTGTGGGCATCAAAAAACTTCTCCAGAAGGATAAAAAGAGAGCCTACAGACTGAAAAAAATATTTGGCCCATACACAAAGAGGATGTTTTAATACCACTATTATTCTAATATATGCACCAACATCTAAAACCAAAGAGGAGGAAATTGAGGATATTTATCAAATTTTGCACTGTGAAATTGACCAAAGGGGCCATCAAGATACCTTAATGGTAATTAAGGAATGCTGAACTTTGGAACAATGAAGAAGGAATGGTAGTTGGAATTACAGACTTGGTGACAGAAATGAGGCTGGAAAGCAAATGATGGAATTTTGTGATTAGTATTTTGACCATAGACTTTTCCAATGTTAAAATTCAAAGTTGATCTCTTCAACCTCCCCTACCCACCTCCCCATCCCACTCCGGGTTCTTTCAGCTTGAGAAATGCTGAGTGTGTTTGCCTCCAATCCAGATGTCATGCTTGCTTTGACTTCCCCAGCTACTCTTTGGAACAATCTCTTTTACTTCATAATTTCTTCTGTTTGCATTAGCTGTTCTGTGTTCAGGTGCAAGGTTTGTGCCTTTTTTCTGATGTCCATTCTGATCTTTGTGATCATTTTGACGAATGGCCTTGATAACGCCATCTACAGCCATCAAGTTGATTCTGACTCTTAGTGATCCCACAGGACAAAGCTGGACTTCGCATAGGGATTGTAAGACTGCATGTCTTTGTGGAAGACAGCCTTTTCCTTCTCCCAAACAGCAGGGGTGGGTTCGAATTGCCAACGTTTCAGTTAAAAGCCCAATATTTAACTTATAGCATTACTGGGGACATCATTTCACAATTAATCTAGTATTCAGTTATTAGTATTCAGTGTGTCAGGTCTATTTGGGGGAATGCTCTCTAAATTCTGGAGGGATGGGATACCTTGCTGGACAGTTGTATAGAGACAACGGTTGCCAAGCATCTGGTGTGCCACAAATAGGAACGGGCAGCTGTAAATGCTATGCGAAGGGATCTGGGTTTAAGGAGGTGCCTTGCCCCGTCTCCAAGCCTCCGAGGTGGGGCAGTGCTGGTCCCCAGGCTGGACTGCACGGTGACCGCCAGCAGTTCGCGGGCTCTGCCCGGACGCTCAAGAGGCGCTGCCGCTTTGGGATCGGATCGCTGGGGGACACTCCTCTCTCCCTCCGAGCCCCTCTAGCGGGTAGGTGTGGGTGCTAACGCGGAGTTGTCGGGGCGGAGACACTGGGAAAGGGACAGTGCCGGCTACGAGGCCGGGGCTGCAGAGCTGCAGTGTGGCGCCTGGGACGCGTCGGTCTCCATGGCAACGCACAACATGCCGACCTCTTGGCTGGAGGCGCTTCTCCCCCGCCCCCCACCCACCCTGGGCCACCGATTGCATCTCCCACTGGCCAGTAGTCTCCAGAGGTGTCCCCTTGTAGAAAGATTTTCCGAAAATCTGGCGCTTCCACACCCGGATTTTGCAGGGTCTGAGCTCAAAACTGCCTCAGGGGTGTGCAGCTCCTTCGGGTGCAATCATCCCCCTGCCTTCCCACCCTGACATGAGATGGCTGCAAAATGCATGGTGCCCTAACTAGGTTTTGTTGTTGATTGCTTTGAGTTGAGCACGACTCATGGCGACTCTATGAACAAAAGGCCTGAAGCCCCTGTACAACTTGACATTTATTAAAGTTCATAGAATTTCCGGAGACATGTTGTTTAGGAAGTGGGTGCCACTCCTGCTTCCAACTAGTATAAAAGAGAAAAAAGAGGGTAATTTATAAATTAAGTACTTCCTAAGAAGCAGCGGGGTGCGCTGTAACCAAGGAGCCCTGGGAACGGCCTGGTCCGTGAGGGGCAGGATTTTCCAAAAAGGCACCAAATCTCAGGAAAGGTCGCAAGTGCAGCCAAGACCTGATTTCTACGTTCATTGCATTTTTAGAAAATTAAGTGTTAATTAAAGCCATTCAAAACGGATTTCGTATTTCCATGGAAAATGTTTGTGTTTAGCCACAAATAATAAAAAAATAACTTTTCAACACACATAAATGAAACATGAACGATCACTCTTAATGATTGCACTTAAATGGAACTCGTCCTGTTTGTTGAGCAGGAGAATCTTATGCACACTGCCCTTGACCCTCGAGAATTTAGCATCTATTACTAAGCTAGTTCCCTTCTCCGCCAGCTGCGTTGTTGTTGTTGAGTACCGTTGAGTCGAAACCAACTCTTAGCTGACTCTGCAGCATGAGTTCAGAGGCAGTTAATCACACGGAAGGAAGTTGCTGAGCCTTCTCCGGAGTTGCAGCTGGTGGAATTGGACCAGGTGCCTTCGGGATTGCAGCACAGCTTCTTACCACTAGGCCTCCAGAGCTGCTTTCCAGCAGTAGTGCCTATTAAAATCAGCTTCCTCGATTAAAATCAGCTGTGTCTGACATGGCCATGACAATGTCCAGCGTGTCCAGGTAGAGCAGTGCTTCACAGGGTTGTCAATGGCTGGTTTTTCAGAAGTAAAACGCCAGGGCTTTCTTCTAAGTCATCACTGGGTGAAATTGAACCTCCAACTATTTGACTATCAGCCAATCTATTTATCAGCATTACTATTTACCAACTGACACACTACTCTCTTCATCTCTGCGATAAAACTAAGCCCCTACAAATTTCAATAATGCCGACTAGGGGCCAGTAACACCACAGGCATTCAGAAGGAATGACGTGGCAAAAGAATCAATCCTCAAGTGATTAATAAGGATCACTGTTGAACTATATAGAGTTGTCAAGAGTGGAATATCTACCTTTCATTGTCAAAGCAACCTTATAAAGCAGGTATTGTTATTTTAGAAATGAAGAAACTACAGTTGTGGTAATTAAGCTACTTGCCTGAGATCTCAGTATTTTGTCACAGCTGAGTTTACTAAAGCTGAGCTACCACTCAAGTCGGACCTCACAAGCCACCCAGAAACCAGTCTCGTTTTGATTTTGTGTCTCCCTTCATTCTTCACTGGCAGTGTCCGAAGAAGAGTCTTAGGAGAGTGAGTTCTTTTAGATTTTAGTCATCAGTTTTCCTTGCTGCTCTTGATGAAAAGTACGGATAACATTTCATTCCTCTAATTCCAGGAACCTCTTTGTATCGGGCACTATGGAGAAATATGAAGTGATTAAAGCAATTGGGGAAGGTGCCTTTGGGAGAGCATACTTGGCTAAAGGAAAATCAGATAGCAAGTACTGTGTTATAAAGGAGATCAATTTCACAAAGGTAAAGTTAAATCCAGATTACAGTTAATTTTTTGTAATTGCTATTATGAGTTGTATATCTGAAAACACTGAAATGGCAAAAACTTGTGAGTTCTATTTATAACAATGATGAGGAGGTCAGAGTAGCTACGACACTGTTTATATAAAAGCAAAAATCTCATGAGATTTGATTGTTTGGTTTGGAGGTATAGAGTCATGGTTTCATGGGACATCCCAATTAATTGGCCTCCTGATGTGTTCAGTGCTTCTGTTCTGTCCCTGGTTTGTTGCCTGGGCTCTTAAAAACTTGCAAATGGCCATGCAAGGCACAACTGTTTATCTTGTTGTCCCAGAACAGCAGAGGGGTGGAAAACTGAGGAACAGGAAGAGGATATCAAATGTGTGGCTAATTGCCTCCAAACAACTGTCTCCTTTGCTGTGAAGCCAGAGGAATTGCACGGTGCGCAGCTACTATTACTGAACAGATCAAATTGACAACAGCAGCTCGAAAAATCACGCGGGAGCTTCAAAGGTCAATACATTGAGATTAAGTAGAGAAGGAGGATGAGAATCCTTGCACAACTTGAAGAGTATCATCAATGCCACCGAATTATACACATGGACAGAGTCGGACTGGTGTATGCGTTGCTACATATATTCTAAAAACAACAACTAGATTATTGAAAGTTAGGGGAGAAATCCTGTTAATCTTCAGTGCAGCTTTTCATTTAACTTTTTTCATCTAGCTTTTAACCCAGTATGAAAAGAAGATTCAGTTGTTTTGGTTTTTTTTTAAATAATTTTAATGAACATTTACAGAGAATTTGGATTTCCATTCATTCATTGCTGTACTTCTCTACCCGCCCCAGCCCTCTTCCCCTGCCCCCAGTTCGCCCCTCTCTTTCAAAAGCAAAAGAAAGACTCCCACCCTGGTACACAATCCCCCCGCACCCCTCCCACCACCCCAAGTACACTCCACTATGCAACCTTAATTGTGGACTCTTGTGATAACAGACTCAGTTTTATAATTATGTATTCTAATTTGAATGCATGGATCATAACAAACTGTGGCTGACTCTGAGAAGAATGGGAATCGCAGAACACTTGATCGTGCTAATGCGAAACCTATACTTGGACCAAGAGGCAGTCGTCAGAACAGAGCAGGGCAACACTGCATGGTTCAAAATTGGGAAGGGTGTATGCCAGGGATGTGTCCTGTCTCCAATACCTTTTCAACCTGTATGCAGAGCAGATTATCCGAGAGGCTGGGCTCTATGAGGAGAAGCGTGGCGTTAGGATTGGTGGACGATCCATCAGCAATCTGCGTTATGCAGATGACACAACCCTGCTCGCTGAAACTGAGGAGGACCTCATGCACTTGCTGCAGAGGGTCAAGGACTGCAGCCTTCAATACGGACTGCGGCTCAATGTCAAGAAGACAAAAATTCTCACCACTGGACCAATCGGTAGCATCAGGATGGATGGTGAAGAGATTGAGATTGTTCACAGCTTTAGTTTGCTCGGCTCCACGGTCAACACTCTTGGCACCAGTAGCCAGGAAATAAAAAAACGTATTGCGATGGGAAAGTCTGCGGTTAGGGACCTCTCTAAAGTACTCAAGAGCAACGGTGTCTTTCTGGAGACTAAGGTGCGCCTGATACAGGCCATGGTTTTTGCAATCACTTGTTATGCATCAGAGAGTTGCACAATGACTAGGGAGTATAGAAGGAGAATTGACGCCTTTGAGCTGTGGTGCTGGAGAAGAATATTGAATGTACCATGGACTGTCAAGAAAACAAACAGATTCATCCTAGAGAGGGTTAAACCAGGCTGCTCCTCGGAGGCAAGGATTCTGGGGCTTCGTCTGACATACTTTGGACATGTTGTAAGGAGAGACAGGTCTTTAGAGAGGGACATCATGCTGGGCAGAGTGGAGGGACAGCGCAGGAGGGGAAGACCCTCTATGAGGTGGATTGATTCAGTGACTGGGGTAATCAGGATGGGTGTGTCAGAGGCAATGAGATTGGCACAGGACAGAGCAGGGTTTAGGGCTGTTGTACATAGGGTCGCTATGAGTCGCAAACGACTCGACGGCACATAACAACAACTCTCAGTTGACTCTTGTTCCCTCTTACCTTCTTATTTCCACTGTTCAAAGAACAACTAAAAGTCTTTTTTGAAGGTTGAGGAATCGCACCACCCCTGGCTCCCATCACTGACTGGCATGCTGACTTTTACTCTGTGGTGCCCTGGGTGCCCATTCTTTCCTCTGGCTGGGTCTCCGTGTCCAGGTCATCTCACAAAGGACCTTTCCCCAGTCATCCTCGCTAAAGTAGCCCCCACCCCTCAATCACCTCATAGCCTGCTACCTACTGATTTTCTTACTAAGTACTTACTGTTGTTGTTGTTGTTGATTGCCGTCGAGTCGTACACGACTCATAACGACCCTATGAACAAAAGACCTGGGACCTTTCTATGATGATTGTCTCTCCAAGTTCATAATTTTCCAGAGGCATATGGTTTAGGAAATGGATGCCACTCCTGCTTCCAAATTTGTCTTAAACTGGGAGCTCCACCACACACTGTCTACCATGGGCAGCCATTATGGCATTTGAGACTCCAATGGCACAAAGTTCAGCATCACAGTCAAACAAGGATTACCTCAGCAAACCCAGATTACCTCTTGCTGGAGCCAATGAGAGCCTGCGGTGTGGGCCTGGGGTCTTTTAAAACTCATGTGGCTTTGGAAGGCTTCTCTGTGTTGTTTGGGGGTCGGCTCTGGTTTGTTTGGCCAGAAGCCTCTTGTTGGAGCCAATGAGAGCCTGCGGTGTGGGCCTAGGGTCTTTTAAAACTAGTACTTAATTATAATCTGAAATTATTTGGCTCTTTTGTTTTTTTATCTACCACCCACAATATTCAGAAGCGTGCCTGGCATGTAAATTTGCTGTTATTTGCCATCAGTTGGCTCATAGCAACCTTCTTGAATGAAGAACAGCTGCCCCATAGAGTTTTCTTTACTAGTAAGGAGCTGTGCTGCCAACCCAGAGGTATGAGGTTCAGATCCACCCAGTTGTTCCATAGGAGAAACATGGACAATCTCCTCTTGTGCAACTTGTTGTTATGTGCCATCAAGTCCTTTATGACTTGTAGCAATCCTCTATACAAAAGCTCTGAACTCTGCTCTATCTTGAGCCAATTTCATTGTCTCTGACACACCTACCCCTATGACCCCAGTTACTGAGTCAATCCATCTCATCCAGGTCTTCCTCCTTTTCACTGTCCTCTCCACCTTTTCAGGTGTGATGTCTCTCTCAAAGGACTAGTCCTTCCTGGCAACATGCCTAAAGTTTATCAGATGGGCCTTCAAAAGCCTTGCCTCCAAGTAGCAGCTTGGTTTCACCCTCTCTAGGAGAGATCTGTTTGTTTTCTTGGCAGTCCATGTTCAATGTTCTTCTCCAGCACCCCGACACAAAGACATTGATTCTTAGTCCATCATCTGTAATCATTCTCCAGCTTTCTGATGCAGAGCAAGATATTGCAAAGACCATGACTTGGATCAGGCGTACCTTAGTTTCTACATTGACGGGGTTGCTCCTCAGTTCTTTGGAGAAGTCCCTGACAGCAGATTTTCCCAAAGCAATTCATTTTTTTATTGCCTGGCAGCTAGTACCAAGAGTGTGGATTGTGGAACCAAGCAAGCTGAAGCTGTTAACAATCTCAATCTCTTCTTTGTCTATCATGGTGCTGCTAACTGGCCCAGTGGTGAACATCTTTGTTTTGTTGATGTTGAGCTTCACTCCATATTGAAAGCTGCAGTCCTAGACTTTCAGCAGCAAATACCTCATGTCTTCCTCAGTTTCAGCAAGCAAGGTTGTGCCATTTTTACATAATGCAAGTTGTTGATGAGTGAGTCTTCCTCCAATCCTGATGCCACATTCCTCCTCACACAGCCCAGCCTCCTGGATGATCTGTTCCATGTATAGATTGAAAAGGTATGGAGATAGGATGCATCCCTGATGCATTCCTTTCTCATTTTGAACCCTGCAGTGTTTTCCTGCTCTGCTCTGACGACTGCCTCCTCTGAAAACCTGCTAGAGGGTCAGCTATTGGTTGGCTCTGGCTCAATGGTACTTAATAACAACGACAGTCTTTATGGGAACAGATTGCTATGCACATAAAAGGTACTTAAATTTTTTATTAAAATAATTAATAGAGAAAATGGATGCATTATTCTTAGCCTGCATTTAATTATTATGAAGAATGATTGTTGTTAAGAGCTGTCAAGTCGTAGACAACTCATAGCGACCCTATGAATGAAAGACCTGAACATTGTATAACTTTCATTGTTTCTCCAAGTTCATAGAGTTTCCTGAGGCAAGCTATTTTAGAAGTGGGTGCCACTCCTGCTTCCAAGCTTGTTTTCACTGGGGAGCTCCACCAAACACTGTCCATCATGGGTAACCATTGCATTTAACACATCAGTGTCACAGTGTTCAGCATCACAGCAACCACAAGTTACCTCTGTACAGCAAATGGACAGACCAGTGCTATGCCGCTTAGAAGAATGTTTGACCAAAAACCATTAAAACCAGGCCTGAGGGCTGCATATTAAAATCACTCACCTTTGGCGTGGTAGCCTCACTTTCTGTCCGCTAGGCCAACAGATCTCTCTTTATGTTGTTGTTGTTAAATGCCATCGAGTAGCAGACAACTCATAGCAACCTTATGAACGAAAGACCTGAACACTTGTATAACTTTCATCATTTCTCCAAGTTCATAGAGTTTCCAGAGGCAAGCAGTTTTGGAAGTGGATGCCACTCCTGCTTCCAAGCTTGTTTTAATCAGGGAGCTCTAACACACATTTAAATTGAAAACAGTACTTTTCCCCCCTAAATTCATCTTTGTTAATGTTTGTTTTATGTCATTTTCTCAACTGATATGCTAGTTTCAAAATACATTAAACTACTAGAAGTTTAATGGCCTTTCTTTGTATGCTGGAATAAGCCCTAGTGGCAAAGGGGCTAATGTGCTCACCTGACAACCAAAAGATTGACTGTTCAAACTCACCAGTCTCTCCATGGAAAAAAGAAATGACAAATCTGCTTCCGTAACAACTTCTCACCTTGGCAGCTCTGTGTACCAGTTCTACCCTGCCCTAGGATGTCTAGGAGTTGGAATAAACTCTTCTCCGTGGGTAGGTACTGTGCTAGAATTCATTTTTTAAGTTAAGTATCTTATAGGTTACCTCTCAGAAGATTTATAAATGACAGTGCAGAAAATATTCTTCACAAAGTGTGTGCCAAATGAACTCTTAAAACTGGTGCATTAAAGTTCATGTGTAGATTATTGGCTTCTAGAAAAGTGTCACGTTTTCTGGCATTGTTATTGTTGTGTACCGCTGAGTTGGAACTGACTCATGGCCAACCCTCCAGTGGGTTTTTAGAGGCAGCTAAATCGTATGGAAGGAGATTGCCTAGCCTTCTCCTGTGGAGCAGCTGGTAGATTTGAACAGCATGCCTTTGGGATTGTAGTACAGTTTATTGTCACTAGGCCACCAGTGCTCCCTACGTTTTCTAATAGACCTGCCTTTTTATGAAAGAGCCCTGGTGGCATAAGAGTTAAGCACTAGGATCTCAACCCAAAGGGTGGCACCAGCTCATTCACAACCCGTTGCTCCATGGAAGGATAAGGCGGTCGGCTCCTTCAGGATTTACAACCGTTGAAACCCCATGGGATAGTTCTACACTGTCTTATGAGGCTGCTACAAGTTGGAATTGACTCCACGGCAGTGGGGTGGGTCCCTTTATATCAATCTATGCTGCTTATCACTAATGTCCTTTGAGTGAGCACTGGAACTCCCTGTAGACCAGAGCTCCCACTACACTAAGAGGACCTTAGTTATAAGCTGTCTGTTTCCATGACAATGTATAACTCTGTGAAGTTAAAAAGATACTCGCTGAGCACCCGAAACCCAAGGATAATGCACTCTTCAGAGGGTGGGCTGCTCCAAATGTATCAATGGCATGTGCTGGGCAAGGGTGCCCATTGAGAGGCAAAGCTCCGGTCAGAGGTGGTGCCCTCGCTAATCCAAATGCTGACTGCAGGCCAGGCATGACCCAGCCCTACAGCTCCTGGAGTCTCTGGATGTAGAGTTATGCTCGTGCTCCTGGCCCAGATCGAAGATGGAGAGGGCCTGACTTCAGGTGGGGCTAGGATGTACCTGGGTGAGGGATGAGAGGAACACCAGTGGTTACCTGATGAAGAGCGAGGATGGGGGACTTCCCCTGCTGTCCAGGAAGGCACAGGGGGACATGGGGAGAGATTGCACCTTTCCTGTTGTCAGCTAGTCCCTGGTGTGGATTCTGCTCTGTAGTTCCAAATTCCTACATCAAGTAGAGAGGTGTGCAAAATGGCCATACTGCACTGTTTTGGGGGTTTTTGTGTGGTCTTTTTAATATAATGTTTTTAAATTTTAATTTTGATTTTAACAAAACTTTACAGAAGAGTTAGATTTTTTCATTCATTCATTCTTGCACATCATACAACCTCTCCCTTTCCCCTACCCCCGTTAAGAAAAAATATTCAGGGGAGCTCTGGTGGCCTAGTGGCAAAAAGCTGCACTGCAATCCCAGAGGTGCACGGTTCAAATCCACCAGATGCTCTGCTGAGGAAGGAGGGACAATCTCCTCCTGTACCAGTCAGATCTGATTTGACGGTACTCACACACACACAAATAATAAAATAAAATAAAAAAAATTT